GGGCTGGCTGGCATGTGGTGCTGGGGGATTGAACCGCGGTCCCTCTGCTTTGCTAAGCTTGTTCTAAGTAGGTGCTTTAGACCACTGAGCCATCTCACCAGCCCCAGAAAAATTATTAAAATGTTCTAGCATTTTGGTCTTGTACTTGTTCCTGTGTTTATTCCTAAATCCAGGGTGTGGCTTGTTCTGTCCAGTGGTGTTTCTCAGGACTCTGTCAAGTATATGTGTTTCCATGATTTATGCTGCATTTTTATTCTGCGTATATTTTGTCAAGCTTTCTTTAAACTGACTCATGTTCAAAATATTTAAAAGGTAAAATGGGGGGCCGGGAGATGGCTCAGTAGAATAAGCACTTGCCTGGCAAGCGCAGAGGTCTGAGTTCAGTCCCCAGTTCCTAAAATGTAGAAATCAGTATCTTTTTCATATATCTCAAAATAAATATGAGATTAATTGTTGAAAGATCTTGACCTGCATACTCTTAAAGCCACCAACAGTGGCCTACTTGGGGGACACCATTCAAGTTCCTTATAAAAAAATATCACCGAGAACTCACAGCTGACAAGGAGAGGGACTGTAGTGAGGATAGTGTCTTTCAGAAGAGCAAGTGAAAGACATTTTTCCTGGTTGTGTTTTAGAGTTATTATCACCATTAACATTTTATGATTTTTATTTTTATTTTTTGGGTTCCTGGGAACAGTTGTGTGTTCATTTTTGTTGATTGGCGGTGAAGTTGTTTTCAGGCTTGTGGCTTTCTGCCTTTTTTGCTTCTTTCCTTCCTTCGCCTTCCATGTGACAGTGTCAAGAATATGCTCATGGTTATGCCAACAGTTAGAAGGCTGGAAGTGCAGTGCTAGCCCCGGTAGCAGGTTTCATAGTTATGACCCTGGTGCGGCATAAGAAGTAAGTTTTGCACCATAATTCAGTAAGCACAACGCTGACATCCATTTTGTTTACTGAATTTTTCTAAGATGTTGAACATAGCATAGTAAACTGATTTCAAGGCCAGTGAGATAGCTGAGCGGGCTAAAGTGCCTGCCTAGGCAAGTTTAGGCAGGGGCAGGGACTGCATTTCAATAAGCAGCACCAGATGGCACACCGACTCTGCCCCCAGGGTGGGCTGAGCTGGCCGGAAAAAACACAACTGATTTCAGTTTAATATTAATATTAATACCATGAAGAAATTGTTAAACAAACCCTCTACAGCTTGCCTGTTCCGTGATGCTTCAGCAGGGCTTTTTCCTAAGTGAGGCAGTATTTCCAACCCAAGCTGTCATTTTCCTTATTTAAATCGAACAGGCGGGCTGGTGAGATGGCTCAGTG